GTGAGGCCATGGAGAAGGACTATCGGTCGGCCTCGAAGAGATTCTGGCAAACCATCCGGCGCCTCAGGAGGGGGAAGCAGTGCCCTGCCAAAACTGTTTACAGTGGAAGTGGGCAGCTGTTGACCTCAACTGGGGACATTGTCGGACGGTGGAAGGAATACTTCGAGGATCTCCTCAACCCCAGCGTCATGTCTTCCAATGAGGAAGCAGAGGCTGGGGGCTCGGAGGTGGACTCATCCATCACCCAAGCTGAAGTCACTGAGGTAGTTAAGAAGCTTTTTGGTGGCAAGGCACTGGGGGTGGATGAGATCCGCCCTGAGTACCTTAAGTCTCTGGATGTTGTGGGGCTGTCTTGGCTGACATGCCTCTGCAACGTCGCATGGCGATTGGGGACAGTGCCTCTGGACTGGCAGACCAGGGTGGTGGTCCCTCTTTTCAAGGAGGGGGATCGGAGAGTGTGTTCCAACTATAGGGGGATCACACTCCTCAGCCTCCCTGGGATAGTCTATGCCAGGGTACTGGAGAGGAGACTCCGACCGATAGTTGAACCTCGGATTCAGGAGTAACAATGCAGTTTTTGTCCTGGCCGCGGAACACTGGACCAGCTCTATACCCTCTTCAGGGTGGTTAAAGGTTCATGGGAGTTTTCCCAACCAGTCCACATGTGTTTCGTGGATCTGGAGAATGCATTCGACTGTGTCCCTTGCGGCAACCTGTGTGGGGTGCTCCGGGAGTACGGGGTCCGGGGCCCTTTGCTAAGGGCTGTCCAGTCCCTGTACAACCGGAGCAGGAGCTTGGTTCGCATTGCCGGCAGTAAGTCAGACTTGTTTCCAGTGCATGTTGGACTCTGGCAGGGCTGCCTTTTGTCTCCGGTTCTGTTCATTATTTTTATGGACAGAATTTCTAGGTGCAGCCAGGGGCCAGAGGGGAACTGGTTTGGGGCCGCAGGATCTCGTCTCTGCTTTTTGCAGATGACGTTGTCCTGTTGGCTCCATCAAATCAGGACCTCCAGCGTGCACTGGGGGAGGTTTCCAGCAGAGTGTGAAGCGGCTGGGATGAGAATCACCACCTCCAAGTCCAAGACCATGGTTCTCAGTCAGAAAAGGGTGGCTTGTTCCCTTCAGGTTGGTGGAGAGTTCCTGCCTCAAGTGGAGGAGTTTAAGTATCTCGGGGTTTTGTTCACGACTGAGGGAAGGATGGAACGGGAGATTGACAGGTGGATCGGCGCAGCTTCTGCAGTAATGCGGTCGATATAGCGGTCCATCCGTGTTATTACAACACACTTGCAGTATCAGAACATATCAAAGCCAGAGCAGCATAAATGGAGTGTGAGGGTGAAAGGTACCCTACAAAAGTACTGGTATAACAGCAAAATTTGCTCTAATATAATTGGTTCATTTTTAAACAATCTGCTCTAGTAGTGGCTATCAGTTGTTTTCTATAGCCCCTTTTTTTGCCAGTGGAATGTCACCGGGGATGCTCTTTCTTCTTTTGACTGCTAATTCATTAAACAGTATGTTTATCATGCATTTTGATATTGGCTTCTTATGACAAGCCCTGCTATCAGTGTAGTCATTGTGTAAGAATTATTCAGAAAGAATGTGGTTGGTTTCTGGCACAAATTGGAATATATCTGCTGAGGTCTTTGAAAATTCTCTGAGTGACTATATAGGAATATATTGAAAATAATGCCAGAATAATGTTTTTTCTTTTTATTTACAAGTGGAGTAGCTTTTTTCTACTTGTGAGGCAGTTACCTTCCTCTGGGTTAAAATAAAAATCACCCTTATACTAGGTAGCATTAATAGTACATTATTATTATTATTATTATTTATTTTACCAACATCCTGCAATATGTTGCTTTCAGTATAACTATAATCTTGCGTCTCACAAGAGCACATAGCAGCCGACATTTTAACCCCAACATTCAAACAATAGTGAGTGTTCCTTTAAAGTGGACAGTACTGTAAGCAAAGACATGGAGAGAAGGAGACCAGTTGTCAGCCAACAGCAGCAGGGTTTCAAACCCTGGCAGGAAAAATGATCTGGCTTCCCGCATCCCAACTCATCTGTCTGGAGGATAATTGGTCTTTTCTTTGCCATGTTTCACCTTGCAGCTGTACACACACTCCTTTGAGGACAACGTGTATGTGCATCGGTCTGTGCATGTCCGCATTTGTGACCGTGTGCATGTGCAGTCACATACATGTTAGTTTTTTTTTGAGTCGGGTGGGATCTAGGCAGTGGTATTGGTGAGTCCACCTGCTTCATCCAAGCCATATCCCATTCATCTAACCTTTAAGCGGCATCCTTGTGAGCAGCCTAGCTGTGGGGGCTCCATGAAAGTAATGCGTCCTCATAAAGGCCATGCTTTGTTAGCCAAAACATCATTTGTTAATTACCTTGCAAGTCCTTACTTGCTGACTCATACATCATCACTTTCCTGCTGTAAGCACCATAAGGCATGCAACTGTGAAAGCTCAACCCTCTTTGTTGGTGCAGGGGCAGAAAAATCAACCATTTGGCTGTAATTTTTTTATTTGTGCCATTAGTGAGTTTTACACCTAAGCTAGATTAGCTAAAAACACAGTGAACATAAAACTGGCACTGAAGGACCACAGGGTATACTAAAAGTCTACATCAACCTGAAACAGTGGAAAAACAAAGGCAAAAATTGATTCAGTGAAACGGTTCTTTTAAAATAACTTCCTCGGGGTTTATTCAGACTGAGACTCAGACTTTCTCAGTTCATAGGGTCAAGAGTCAGCAGATACAGTATACTGTAAATAATTTGCTTAATCATCCTGACTAATAACTATCAGTAGTGAACTACATGTAATTAAACTAGTAGTTCAACTACATTTTTCAGTAGCTTGTTGGTATTTGAGCTATGATCATTTTTACTGTAAATTTCTTTTTTGCCATTTTTTCTGTGGTTAACTACTGAAACTAGAAATAGTTTTTGGCCATGAAAGGAACAAACTCTAAAATTTGTTTATAATAAAAATATTCCTTACGAAAAGCCTAAATGGGATTGGGTAGTTTGGATCTCAGGAATATTCCAGGTATTGTCAACTTGCCTGTAAAAAATATTTGGCTATAGTTTTTAAATCTGAATTTGTAAGACTAAGCTTAAATATACTGGCTATCCATTAGTCATATGTGTTGACTTTGCTATAGCCGATATTTAGAGACGTTTTGTGGTATTTTAGAAGTTACCTGCTTAAATCCTGATTGTTTCTAGAAGGCAGGTGTCTGACTGATGGATACTGTATACAAAACTATTCCTTTGGCTTGGTTTTAGGTGTGACCAAGTAGGACTTTTTTTAGCAAAAAACCGAGTGGCATATTGTACTGACATACCTTTCTGTTTTTGTATGTGTTATAATATTGTATCATATGAACACTTCATTACAAATTAGTTTGTACTAAAATAAGGGAGGTTACTGTAGTTAAATGCCCTTAATATTTTCTGTTAGAGCAGAGAACACCCATATGAGCAACACATAAGTGAAATACAAATAGAGTAATAGCTGAAGAGAGATCAGTGTATTTTGACTGAGAGCTGTAATTACAGTGAATGAAAGCGAGGTAATATAATGTTGAGCCTATGACTGAAGATTGGTAGGGAGACTACAAATTTGACTAGTCTGAAGCAGTATGGTCAGTCCAAGGGGGGAGAGGAGTGCAGACCAGGAAGTGATACTGCAGCAGAGCGGACAAGGCAGTGTTGGATAGTATATTGGCATCTGGAACTTCTATAAGGCCTAGAGACACAGTACAGATGTGGATCTCTTCTGCTGAAGTGCCTGAGTCATGAATTTGATAGAGCCACATGAATTGCTGTTACTCTCAAAAGCAAGGTGACTTTGCAAATTCATAAACCACTGAATAAAACATTCAATTTTATCATTATTCAATTTGTGAGTTATCTCACTGCTGCCCCTCATTTTCATTTCTTTCAAATCACTCGCTCTTAGCAAAAAAGCAAGCTTTTTCCTGTCCTTGATTATTTTTGGATCAATCATAGATGTGCAGTATTGTTCTGGAGGCTTCCTGTGACAGGGTCATGTGAGAGTCAAGTACTTGTATAGTTAGGTCATTTTAACCTTTCTCTGCAGGAGTGACTGCAGCAACATGACAATAACCACATATCATCTGAGGGACATGCGGCTGATAAGACAAGTGCAAAAACAGTGACAGCTATCATATTCACTCATGCTTCAAGGAGAATTTTGCATTGCCTTGGCTCTCATCTAGAGTGTTTTATACCTTATAAACTTAAAGAAATAGTTCTCACTGGAGGTAAGATTTAGAAAAGTGAGCTATTCCTGTGTGTGGTTTGTAAGCGTTGAGCTGCTTTCCCTATAGTTTATGAATTTCTTTTTCAGAAGGATCTCTGTACAATGTGCAGTTTACCAAGTGACAAATGTAGTTGTGCAACCCATGAAACATTTCCAAAATGCTTGTAGCTGCACTATATAAGTGAACCACATTTCCCTGTGCAGTTACCTCCACTAACAGGGAATCAGATCATTTTAGATGCCTTTCTGTCCCATCTCTCCTTGCGGCAAGAGATGAGGTATGACAATGACCAGGCCTTTCACAAACAATGGTGTTCTTTTTCCAGGGCCTGGATAACTTCACCTGACACTGAACATGAACTCCCACTGGGGCTGAGAACTCTGTGGCTGTGAAGTCTGGCTGGGTGCTAGAGTGGCCTTGGGCACAGTGAGAAGCTATATCAGGATTTGATCCAATCCCAGGTAGTGAAGTTGTTGCACTGGAATCGTCCTTGACCAAGACACTGGACATGCAGACCTTAGGGTTAAACATCAACATATTCTTCTTCAGTGATAATGGTGCTGTGAGGGGTAACTGTGGAGGGGGCCTAAAGGAGTACAAACCTGTAAGCATTAGTGGTTTGTGATTTCAAAGCTAATTTAACTTAAACTGCACTGTAAACATTTGATAAATGTGCGTTTTTGGCTCCAACCTTTGCGGTATCATTAAACACCAAGCCAGAAGAAATTTGATCAAGACTAAATTTTGTTGTTAGCCTGATTGTGTCCTTTGCCTGACTTGGACAAGGTGACATAGATAAATAGATCCTTGTCTTTGGTTGCATGTTGCGCTTTAAAAAAAAAAAAGGCATTTTTCTCCTGTTCCCATCTTTCTCATTAGCTCTGAAATCCCATGAGATTCAGTGTGCAGGAATGTCATTTTTCAATTCACTGATACTTTAAGTTTGTAATATACACAGTTGCAGATAAAATTTGAGATGATGTAATTGTGGATAGAGAAATGTTAAGATTAGAAACCTTTAAGATTGAAGAAAAAAAGTGTGCCAAAGTTTTAGTTCTACTTAAAAATATGAGAATTTCTGACCTTTTAGTAATTTTTAGCTAATTTGTAAAAAAAAACAGAGTTCATCTGAAATGATGGCAATTATGCCTTGATTGCCCCTCAGTCACACAGCTGCCTGCAGATATGAAAGGCTCTAGTACTTCCTCCTGTAAAAGTACCTTGATACTAATCAGCCATTTTGTAATTGAGACTGACAACCCTCCTCTGCGACGGTATCTCTTGGTAGCCATGGAAACTGGAGAACATTCCTCATCATGAGAAGCTTCCATATCTTGATGACATCTTTACTGAATCATTCATTTGACATGCACACACAAGACATTATGGTTACTAATCCCAGTAACTATAATCCCAGAAACACTTGATTACTTTATCAGTTTAGGGGTTTGCGGTGTTACCATGAATCCAATAATATTATGTTACTCTTTTGTGTCTCTGCATCAGCAGTTAGTGGAAAATCAGTATTTTTATCGAGTCTTACATTCCACCACTGGTTTAAAGGTGCAGGACTGAGCAGTGTGCAGTGAAGGAATTTAATAAGAAATGTAACTAATTACTTTTGCCTTTTTAGTAAAAATTTTCAAGCGCTGTCTATATTCATACAAGTTCACCACTTCACTCCATACAGTATGGAATGCTGATGGCTTGCAGATACTCAGATACATGCACACAAACTGGAGAATTGTTTGTTATGGAGTGATAGTGACAGCCTGCTGGCCTCAGGGGTAACTGGAAGGGCAGCATGCTCTCCTGAGTTCTACCCTATACTGCATCTGCTGCAGCTCCACATACAAAGAATGCATGAAATGTTTGCAAAGACTGGAAAACCTAGAGCCATGCATTTCTTTTGCCACCTAATCCAATATGACATGTATCCCTAAAGCAATGCAGATTTAATGCTGCATAATCTGACTTCGCTGACTGTAGCAGTGTGGTACCCTATTTGAAATTTGGTACATTTACCTCCTGAAAGAAAAAGTTCCTTTTACCAACCTGGCAATGCTAAAATTGAATTTTCTTTTTTTCTTTTTGCGTTCCGGCATTGACAGCTTAGCTGAGAAAAAGCAGCAAGAGATGCATTTTTAAAATTTACCTTTAGTGAGGTGGAACTGGTCCTTTTCTGTGCGGCAAGCAAAATGGAACTGACACTTTTATATGCTCAACGAATAGGATGTCAATCTTGTGGTCATTGCAAATACTAGTTTATTGGAAAACCTAATGCTCTGTTTGTTTTTAGAGAGCTGGTTTACATCTGTCACTTCTCCTCTGCTAGTAAAAATGACACTTGTCACATGCCTAATAAAGATACTGTGGTTCATCCTGCAGCATTCTGTCATGATCTCATCTTCATAGTCTGTTACACACTGGCAACTCATAGAGCTGCTTAAATTATATCACAGTGAATATGCAGTGCTTTGGTGTCTGTCAATGTGGAAACATCTGTTGAAGAGCTAAAAACTTAATGTTATAAAGTAATGAAAAGCATGATCATCATTGCACTGAAATCAGAACTGCAGGAAGAAATGCATTATAAAAACACCACATGGCTGTCTGTACTCCTATTGCAGTCACTTCATTACCCCTGATGTAGATTGCTCATATTTGCTGAGACATGTGCAATTCTCCAGGGCTTTTTGTCTCAAGAAAAGCTGCATCAGCACCAGGATCTTCTGGAAAAAAAAATCTGCAAAAGAGAAAAGCCATGGCAAACGCATCCAGTTTGTATTTTGATTTATACCACTTTGTAAATAACCAAAGGGCTTTGACCAGATGTGCAGATATTCAAGTACAAGTTGATTTTCTTGCCACATACAGTGAAAGTTGTTATACCCTCATGTAGTTTGCTTATTTGGGTGTGTGTGTATATGTGCAGTATTTGTATGTGGATGCTTGCTTTAAACATTTGATTGTACACAAGTGAACATGTCTGCAGGGGTGGCAGTACTGTAGGAGATGGATAGAAACAAAATGTGTTCATGATATTGTTCAGAGTTGGGTCCAAAGAACGTAAATGTTCCGTTTTAATTCAGAACCAACAATTAAGCAGTATAAATGAAGCAGCAGACAGGCCAGATTCACAGCTCCCCTTTGGGGACAAAGTCAATGGTCCATGTAAACGTTAGCTTTCAAGGAGCTCTCTGCCATGGCAACTTGGTCATTGGACAGTTCATTGGTTCATTTCCCTAGCATCAACAGAGATGCACAGATACAAAAAGAATTCAGATCCCTTCACCATCTACACACTTTGTGTTGTAGATGTAATTTTAAATTTATAAAACTCAACCAGTCTACACCCACTAACCCATCACAAAATTAAAAATGAAAATGCCTGATTTACTGTTCAGACCCTTCACTGTGGCACTCCAAATTCCAAGTACAGAAAGGTCCTTGAAGAAAACCCACTCCAGAGTGTAGTCGACCTGAGACGGGGGTGACGGTTTAGCTTTCAGAAAAACAATAACCAAAAGCATTGAGCAAAGATAATGCTGCAGTGTCTTCAGGACAAATCTGACTGTCATTGAGTGGCCCAGCCAAAGCTCAGACTCAAACCCCTTCAAACATCTGTTAAGGATTGATATCATTCTAACCCACTAGTCTTTGCATTCAGATCTCAGGTATGGAAAAACAATTATTGTATGATGCAACAGGTGAACCTCTTTCAGAATCGCTATTGTCATGGGACTGATTTAAAATATGCAAGTGTTGCTGTATATGGGACCAGAGGGGATACACTGACTGTACTTACACTGTCCTCTCTAACTTTTATATGTATGGGGACATAGCCTGATATCCTCTTTAGTCACCAGAATCAGAATTATCAGACATCATTACTGTTCCACCAACAGGCTCAAGATAACACTTTTATAATTAACTCTAATTATGCTAATTTTGTTAGTCACTTGAGCAGTTTTATGCCATATTTTAATATTTACTAATTTGAAAACACAGCCTGACTCTATTAAATGATCCTTGATACAAAAGAGAAGCACAGATGAATTAGTTATAAAGTTAAGCCCTGTAATTGCAGAATATTTTGTGACCTAATTGAAAAAACTTTAAGCTTTAAATCCATTTTTTTTTCCACTTTGAAAAGGCACTAATCCTTAAACCTGGCTTTCCAGGCTGCTGTGTGTCCAAGCCAGTAGCAGGTACTGCATGCTTCAGTTTCGAAGCGCTTAGCATTTCTCGCAGTCCTCATTACAGGTTCCTCTTCGCATTACAGCAGCACTCTGACAGGCTCTACTTTGGGGCCCTCATATCAACGGGTCAGTAATGTTAGGCCTAAATCACATTTTAATATTATTCACTGCACATAGACTCACGTGGAGAAGCATGTCTGTGTCTTTTTGGCAGGATGGGATGTGCACAGTTGATATGAGAGGGACTACTCATCTGTTTGCTGTTATGCTATATCTATTTGGCAAAAAACCAAGAAAGGAAACAGAAGCCTTTAATACAAGAGACAGTGTAGTCATACTTTAAAAGAGTTTTACTCATATAACAAAAGAAATGTTTTGTCAGTAATAGTGTTGGCACTCAGAGTTTAAGACCTGCGTTGTTAAATTAACATCTTTTATGTGTATACCATATGCTTGTTTTTTTTTATATACCATTGGTGCAGGACACTTGAATGAATGAAAATTGCTGAATAAATGCAAACACTGTATATTAAAATGTTTTTTTTTCTCGTAGTGATGAACCCACCAATCAATCACCTTGAGCTATGGGTCCCTTCAGCTCTACTTGGTTTTTATTGTCTTTAAAGCTTGTGACACACCAAGCTGATGGTTGGCCATTGGCCACTGTTGGCCCGTCTGTCACACTTGTTTTTGCTGTGTCCCCTGCAACATTGGCACTAGTCAGACACTGTCGGCAGCTTTTCAGCCAACTCAGCATGCGGAATAGGCAGCAGACCCTGTCGGTAAGAGAGAACAGTCTGATTGGCTGTTCAGGTTAGTGAATCAGTGTACAAGAAGAGAAAGGTCTGGGAAAGCCCTTTAAGCCTCTCACTGTAGTATCCCTGATTTCACCCATTTAGCACAGTTTCTCTTTATTTTTTGCCTCCTTGATCGAGATTCTTCCACAACCAAGGGCTGACAATGCCAGTGCCATTTGTATCTTCTTATCAGGCATATTCTCGATTAGAAGCAGCTATAAACCCTCTGTGTGAGCAAGAGCTGCTTTGTTTACAGTTTGTATATCCACAGGCCTAGGTCTTCCTCTTTCCATTTTTGAATGATGAATACAGGCTTCCACCACCTGCTGGTATAAGAGAGTTTTTTCTCTCACACAGGCTCAGAATGTACATTCTAGTTAACCAGTGTCTGTGTGGTGTCGTCAAATGCCACATTTTGGCTCTGGCAAAGATGACGTGACATGATGTCGCTGCTAGTACTTTTGATGTAGGCTTGGTGTGCCTCTGCCCTAGCCTTTGTGGCCTGCAGTTTGTTGTTTTGGTTCAGTCTCACTGCTCATATCAATCACTGGAACCAAAGCAGACTATTACGCAGTAACTAGTGTTAGGTATTTTTAGTCAGATACTTTATGTATTAGAAATGTTTAGTGGAGATAGGATGTCTAGTTATACTGTTAAATGCTTAGGCATGCTTATGAGTTTCTACAGGGTACATCTGGTCAAGGATAACTAG